TGTTCCAGTCAGTGTTCTCTTTTTAGGTGTCATGTCAAAATTGTAGTATTGAATATATCTGGTACTAATGCCTAAAACACACACAGTGCATGTAGTGCAAGTGGTTGTTGGATTGCATTTACTTCACGATTTAGAATACTTTCACACGGCAGACGTTTTAGCTGCGTCATGGGACAAATTGGGATTTCCTTCCACACTCCAGTCTGGTAGATGCACTTTAAGCTGGTTTGTCAGCCAATCAAACCAACAGAAGGAAAAGAATTGTGCTTTTATCACTTTTTTTGCCCACTAGGGTCCCTATCCCCCCCCCCCCCCCCCCCCCCCCCCCCAAAAAATAGCCACTCACCATCACTGCGCGGCACCCCCGAATATTCGGGATATTCGTGATTAATTGGGGCCAAATGTTCAGAGATCAGAAATTGCCACAGAGCGATATCAGACAGAGAGAGGAGGCTGCATCAGATCTGCAGTCGTGCCATTTAATTTATCAATAATATATCAATGAAATTACTGACACCATTAATCAGAAAAATGGCAAATATTGACCATGATAACTGGCCAGGCCAATAATCAGTCTATCCCTAATTGAGATGTTAATGAACATCTGTATGTTGTCTGTTTTACTCGAGTCTTACCAAAAATGGAAACAGATTTATTGTGTGTGTTAACTTGATTAATGTTGCTGATTCTGATGTACAGAACCCTCTGGTAGGTGATTTTCTCGTACTTGGTAGAATCAAATCATGAGTTAAAATATGACAAAGTAAACACCTTGTTTGCCTCAAAATACTAGAACCTGCTGGTTCTTCATGAAGCCGAAACACCTGCAAACTTGTTGGATGTCAGTTAGTTTCTGCTTCTGTAGCCGAGCTCATAGTAACTCAGTTAATTCATTCAATAAGGTGAAGTTCTTGCTGTTCGTGTTAGAAGGTCACATTTTCAATCACCGTCTGTAACTGAGGAGAAACGTCTCTCTTATTTGCCCACTCTATTTCTCATGCAGACCAGTATTCTCCAAAAACCAGAGTGAATTAGCCTGGTTCGTAATTTCTTTTTCCATCTTTCTGGAATTAAAAAGGACTTCTTAAAGAATGAGTGTTGAGATAAGAGTTTTGTAACCAGCTGCTGGCTACTATCGCAATTAATCGTATTTAAGTTGTCACTGCAGTTTTGGTTAGCGCATTTAAAAATAACAAAATAAATTTAATTCAGTGAAATATAAACTAACTGACATGAATGAGGACTAATAAAAACAAGCTTGACCCACAATATTGAGTATTTTCTGGATATTTTTCAGGCATTTTTTTTACTAGTCTGCACCTGTTTTATGTGTTGCATGTTTGAGATTATTGCATATTCTTTATTCTGCTACTTATTCTTTTAGTTATTCGTGTGGTCAGTAAAATATTAGAAAATAGTGAAAAAGCCCATTTGCATTGTTACATCAGTGAAAGGGATAGTGAGCATTTAAGCAATATCAATATAAATGTAAACTTAAACCAAAAAGTGAGAGTTCTTCCATATGTGGATATTCAGATTGTCTGAATTCTTCTGGATATGAAAATACATATATTGCACATATCAGTGGTATTGCACAGAAAATATTCCTTCATGAATCAGAAATACTGATGGAGAAGTACTGATATTGCACAGATTTGTCTGTAAGTAGAAATCTACTGATTTTGCACAAGTTCTTGTACAAGAGAAAAATGCTTTTTTGAGTTTTTAAATGTACTAAATATTCATAATGCAAAATATGTGTAATATAATATTATCTAATTTACTCATAATTTTGTTAGTTGACTAACAGTTCAGGGTTTGTTTCAAACTCCTGATTGACATTTCTGCTCTCAGCATTCTTTTGATACTATATTGATATATATTGTGATATATATTGAACGGTGAGTTTAGGTATTTCGTTTTGTTTGCAATCAATCCACTCCTGCAGTTTGGTGTGAGAGTAGCAACCAAACCCAGCAGCTGTGGTTAAAATGTGCCTGCATGCTACTGGTGGGTTACTTGTTTGTTTCCGCCTCTTTAGATTCTCATATTCCTGCTCTGTGCTCTCTTTCTGTTTTTTCCACAGACCTGAAGCATACAGAGAAGCGCACCAGACCACAACAGACCAGACCAGACCAGGTTGAGCCCAATTACTCACCCTGTCCCTCTCCCCCCTCCCCCCAGCCTCGCAGGCTGCATCCACCAGCGCTTGTGATCGTCTCCCTCAGCAGAAATTTATTGTGCTGATCAGACAGCCTCACACCACTGGGACTGGACAGGAGACCCAGAGGTTCCTGCCGCTGGAGCTCTAAGCTGTGCCTGGCAATGCCTCAGGTAAGAGGTGCAACAGGGAGAGGAGAACTGTACCATCAGTGGCACAAAGTACACAGACTTCCTCTGACACAAACGTGTGAATACAGCCTGATTGTTTTCAGCTGTGGAGTACTAAAATGTCTGAAACAAGATGTCGTTAAACCCTCATAAACACAAACAGTGATTTCTTTTTAAATTTCTGAAGCTTGAAAACTGAATGGTCTGACCTTCAACGTACATTAAATTAAACACCATAATCAGAAAATTCAGTGAATGACTGTGGAAGCAAAGGAGCTTTTCAGTAAATGCAGACAGACAGTACCATAGATGTGAACACGGTTCAGCAGAGTTGAGTGACTGACCCAGGTTCAGTGTGACGTCTATAGATGCAGCCTCCAAACAGCTGCTGAGGGCAGATGGGCTAACAGTGAGCAAGTTAATGAATGAATATGCGAGTTGGTTACTTTCTGAATCCTTCTAAAAATAAATATGGAGAGTGTTGAACATGAACATAGATATTTTTTTTTTTTTTTTGGTACTGAAACAACAGCAGCATTACATAGTCCGCCTCAGGAGAGATGATCTCAGCCCTGTAAATGTTTTTCTTTTTCTAATGATGCTGCTCTTCTTTCCCTTCCCTTTTCTTTTTGTTCATCACATTATTATTCATATTAGATGCTGCAGTGACGATTACTCAGCATTATGTGGTATTTTACCACAAGATATGCTGTTAGTCTTTATGGTTGCAGCTTTTCTCTAGCTGCTATCTGAACCAGCTTACCCACTCCTTTAGCTTTTATCGTGCAATCTGCTCTTGTCCTGTTAAAGAAGCAGGGCGTTGTGCAGGTTTGTTGGTCTGAGACACTTATTACTGTATGTAACTGCATCTCGAGACCAAGACCAATAAATCAGCCAGACTGATGTACTGTATCTGCCAGTGTTAGGTTTATTGCAGATATATTGGTATGGGTGTATACGATGGGCAATAACTAACAAGAAACTGCAGTGCAGAAATGTCAGAGTATTTTTGAGGTACTTCAGAAATGAGGACTTCATAGTTTGTCCATCTAAGAGCACTCGCAAGTTGACCTTTCAACTGTAAAATGTCGTCGTTAATAGACGGAAAAAGAGGGAGACAGATTAGAGGCTGTGGTTGCTGCAAGACAGATGAGGTAGAGAAAGACATGCACGTCTTCTTAAAATGTGACATCCATCTATGATCTATATACCACCTAATCCTCACTAGGGTCGCGGGGGGGCTGGAGCCTAATCCAGCCGACTCAGGGCGAAGGCAGGGGACACCCTGGACAGGTCGCCAGTCTATCACATAATCAAGCATACTTGCATTCACACCTACGGACAGTTTAGAAACACTGATTAACCTCTGCATGTTTCTGGACTGTGGGAGGAAGCCGGAGCACCCGGTGATCCCACACTGCATGGGGAGAACATGCAAACTCCACACAGAAAGATCCCAGGCTCAGGTCAGGACGCAAACATTCTAGCTGTGAGGCGACAATTGCTAACCACCGAGCCACCACGCATCCTTATGACGTGACAGATGCAATGATATAAGACAGGAATACTCTCAGAAAGTCAACTTGTGAATCCCAAAGAAACAGTCTATTAGAAGAAGGACATGTAACATACCTGCTGCAGAATATGTGACTGCATGTAACAAAGTAAAGGACACATAAAGCATCACTGAATATGACAATTAACTTGTCATACATATCGCACGCAAAACACGTGTACTATTTTTTTCTTATTTTTTTTGCCAATCTCTTGTTCTTTTTATGATCTCATTTATTTTTTTCATTCCACTTGATAAATTATATTTTTCCTTTTTCATTTTTCTCCCTCATTTTTTAAAAATTCATCTTCTTTGATGTTTTGGCAGTATTGTTAACCTGATATTTCTGCCAGCAGAGTGAATTGAGTTGGAATAATGAGCAAGACAGTCCCATTTAACCCCTGAATAATCAGAATAGGAATAAAAATTGAGTTATTTACTTAAAAGCACAGATTGTATTAGAAAGAAGCAGATGTTGGTGTTAATGCAAAATGTGTACACGGTGTAGATAGCGATACTGACCTCCTGTAATGGTGCTTATTGCTGCAGAGCTGAAGGAGCCTCATGCTGAAGACACAAGGTTTTCCGATCAGTAGCTTGTGTCTGGGCCGTGTACTGTGGCCCTCCATGTTGAGCAGCTTGTTTAGCGTCATCCTTTCCACAACTAACTCCAGGGGCTCCACAGCAGCCTTCAGCAAAGAGCCAGCCTTCTTTATCTGCTTGTTCAGTTGCTTTCTCTGCTGCTGCTGCCCCAACAGATGGCTGCAAAAAAAGTTGTACTGGCAACAACAGACTGGTAGAAGAGATGCGACGTACTGCTACGCACACTGAAGGATCTAAGCTTCCTGAAGAAGTACGGTCTGCTCTGTCTCTCCGTGTAGTCAGCCTCAGTGTCGAATCTACTGCCCAGTCTTTCGTCCACGTGAATGCCCAGGTATCTGTAGTCCTCCACCACCTCCATCCTCTTCTCCCAGGATGCAAATTGTGTTCAGCTTAAAGGTCTGAGCTGTACAAGGTGAAGAGAAACAGTACAGTGGTCTGTGGTGATAAATAAAAAAAAAAAAAAAAGAAAGAAAGAAAGAAAGAGAAACAGTACAGTGGTCTGTGGTGATAAATAAAAAAAAAAAAATGCAGAGGGATCTTTATCCAAATTGCTTGTTTAGGAAAAATACTATTTTAATTTCTGCTCCCTGAATTAGTAGGTATTATCTAATGCAGCCCAGCACCACACTCATCACTTATAATTATAATAAGTTTTATCAAAATGCTCAAAGATGTCCTCATTCAGCTGTGTGTTGATTGATGATCTAAAATTATGTTCACATGTGTTTCTGATATTCTTCTCTCTCATGTCTGTGCGTGTGGATGCACGGAACATTAGAAACACCTATAGAAACCTGCGGTTGATGTATTTAGTCAGTGTTTATTATTATCTATATTAAGGTAGAATTTATGGCTTCTATCAAGTTACATTAGATGACCTAATAAAGTCATAACATCTTTTAAACTCACTCAACCAGGAATAATAGGTGGTATATATGAGAATTAGTGCTGTTTTAAAGGTTAAAAGTGGTTGCATGTAATTTGATAGATTTTTTTTGTTGGGGAAACACGTTTTTGTTAACTGTTATTGCACTGGTGGCGTTTTTTTTAATCGGCGATTCATGAGCTCCTTTAAATTGTTGTGAGATATCGTGTTTATCACAGATATGTCTTTGTTGCTGATAATCTCTCCTCAAAGATTCTGAAAAGTAAATCAGATGAACACTGAACTCGCATATTTCGAATACCTTGCGCCGAGGCCAGTTTTGGTTAATGCTGGCACACACACAGACACACACATACCTGTTGCTTGCTGGTTCTGTTTGGCTGGTTTGTCATTTGCAGTAAAATTCTTGGCAGAAAGCAAACTATGAAAGTCCGGTAGTGGAAATCAAACAAATGCACGCTACAATGAACAATAGAAACTTAAAAAGTGAACAATGTCAGAAATAACAAATACAATGCCGAACTTGAGTGTGACAGAAGAGATAGGAAGGAAGACAAAGAAAGACTGAGGTTAAGCTCGGGGTTTATCAGATTTTGCTTCTGGCGATGTGTGCTGTTGCTCGTTCACTCCAGTGTTGGTTTATTTGTTCTTTCTCTGTTGTGTTGCAGCCCAGCGTCAGTGGGATGGAGCCTCCCTTTGGGGACGCCTTTCAGAACTACTCGTTTGCTGACCAGGCCCTGACCAGCACTGAGCTGCTCGCCACCAGCTCTGACCCAGATTTCATGTACGAGCTGGTGAGTGTCTGCACGCACGCACGCACACACACACGCACACACACGCAATCCCCACAGACTCACACAAGTTGGTTTTGCTATATTTGTGAGGGCCCTCCCTTTCGTCTCCCCCTAACCACCACAACTACGTGTCTAATCCTAACCTAATTCTACTCATAAAAACCAAGTCTTCCTCCTCAGACTTTAAAGTTATGAGAACAAGCCTCAAGGTTACAAACTGTAAAATGTCCGTGCAACAATGGTTTTGAGTACGGCTGCACAACATGTTGTTTCAGCATCGACAATTCAATAAAGGAAGTGCAACGTGAAGTGAAGCCAATCAGCTCAAACACATCTTGCTGCAGCTTTTTTTTTTTTTTTTCACTGCTTGATACAAACGGTAAGCTCACGCAGCTCTTATTTTCCATGACTAATCTACAAGAAGAGCCTGTTTGATAGAACATGATTTACTCCATTTTGAGGGTGCTCGGATACAATGAGTTTCTTTTTTTTTTAAGTTTACTCACAAGACATAGAGTTTGTCGACAAACAGACTCCTCGTGTGCACGGCAAAATATGTGAGGAACAGGACAGAAACACTGATAAGCAAGGCTACATAAATAACATGGACATATTTCAACTACAGAAAGGTTGATGTTGATCATAAATAGGTACTGCAGTGCTGCACCAGGTAACACAACTAATTAGTTTCATTTAAATTAGCACCACAAAGCTCTGTATGATGAGTGTGAAGCCACATCTGAATGTGAGAAAGGTTTAAATCGTCATATGAAGCTTTTTTTATTTAATTATTTGTGATTTTTGAGGCAAATGCTCTCCTCTACAAAATCACCCAAATCACTCTGGCGTAATTATTTAATCCTAAATAGAGTTAATTAAGATGTCTGGTAGAAATTCCTGAATTTCTTTTTATTTCGCAGAAAAACAAAATGTCACAATGTCATTTTTTTCGTGCAGCTGTACAGTAGGTCTGAGTCAAAGTTGGTCCTCTCAAAGATTGCAAAATAAGGCCACATACAGGCATCAGGTCTTGCTAACCATCCTTTGAACAGCCTTTCTTTTCACATCAGTCACAGCTGCTCACGCTGAGCTGCCACTGAGTTACATCTGAACCAAGGATTCAAGTTTAAAGGTCAACAGCCTAAAATTCAATATCCTCCTCTGTCACATATACAGTAGCCTTCTCAAGCAATGCAGTCGCTCTGCTACAGCTGATAAGTGGGAATATCACTTTCAAGGATTTTTATTTTTAAGGTTGTTGTGCTTCAGTACAATTTACATCAAAACACAGTCTGTCATTAAAAGTTATTCTCAGCATACTGATGGTTGTTCCCCACTTCAGTCGCATCTGTCTGTTCTCAGAGCATCAGCTGTTGCTTATTTCCACTCCGCTTTTGTCTTCATTTCTGTGCAAAGCCGAAATAAAAAGAACACATCTTTAGTTGTGGTACAAACTAATCCTCTCAAAGAAGCTCGCTGTGTGTGGCAGATAGAAAGACACACTGATACTGACGGCACAGCAGTGTCAGACATGGAGGGCAGGTTGCCAACACATACAAATACTTGTGTGTCTCACTACATTTGCAGCTTCTAGTTTAATCGTTTTCCTGAGGCAGCTATGCGAAGTGCAATTAGTATGTCATCAAGTTAGTGTGGCTTTGTAAGTGTTGTCACTTTTTAGTAGAATCAGTTTGCAGAACTAGATCTGGACCTACTCCAAGATATTTGGGCAGAGAGTGAGTTTTAAATGTTGCAGGGTGGCATCACACAAGGCAGCACAAACAGCCACAGCGAGCTGTTTGATAAAGAGCTACAGAAGACTAATGCGGTTGAGATTCAGCACACCTTCCAGCACGTCATCAAGGTAAACATCTTGTTTTACCTCGCCATGCTGTGCAGTGGAAAAACACCGCGCTGTGCCAGCGTGGCTTGAGCGGTCACAGCTGCTCAAGGGTCAGCTCGGCACGGGCGTCCCCACCCATATCAAACACCGATATTAGGTTACATGGGACGCAGCAGACAACACTCACCAAATGCCATAGAGAGTACTAATTCAGAGTACAGTTAGTGGGGCAGAAGTATTTAGTTTTTGTGTATACTGTAGCTTAGAAATGTTGCAGTCAAATGCTTTACATGAAATTTGCAACAATTGAAATGAAATGAAAATAGAAACGCTATTAGGAAATGAATACACAACAAAAGACAGTTTGTCTTGAAGCCTTGAATAGGTAAACAGAATGAAATCATCATTCATGCTATGAGTATGTTATATGAGTTCCCTTCTGTATTGAAAATCTCCACAGGGACAGCAACAGGCCTTTTTTAATGAAATAATTGCACGTAAATTGAAAATATTGAGGTTATATTGCATTCCTTGTATACTGACTCACTGAACCCTCTTGTCAGGGTTATATTTTGTGTATTAACTCTCTGAACCCTGAAGTGTTTCTAGGTGGTTTTTAGTCCTCTTCATTTACTTACATACAGTGGGCTTTTTTTCCCTACTGCTGTGTAACATCCTGCTTTTCTATGGAAAAAGCACAACCATGGATTGAAGTAAAACATTTCTTTTGTGCAGTATTGACACAGAATAGTAAAAATCATTGAAAAGAAAGAAGTTTTACTCATTTACAAATACTAAAAAAACTTCAACGTGTACATTTTTTCCAACTGCCCAGGTCTTACAAACACTGGTGGGAAAATGAAGACCCTACATACGATATTTCACTGCTTATATTTTAGGTTGGTTTCATCTTTGCTCTCTGTAAACACTTCCTCCGGTTCAGAGCAGTTTAGCTGAAAAGTCCCTAAATTTTACTTACGTGACTGTGGGCCACAGCTGAGTCAGTCGCGGCTTCTCGGTTGTGTTAAGATGTTCAGAATTTTTTTGTTTTTACAGAGTCTGCTAACTGTAAGTGCTTAATTTTTTTAGGCAATTTTTAAATGAGGCATGTAGAATAAAGTGACTTTAATGAAATGTCACGACTTTAAAATTTGATTTTGGTCGACAAAACCGAAAGAAAAGAGAAAGTTGAAAATCTGACATTTCCTTTCTGTTTTTTCTTATTTTGTTGGAATGATCAAATTTTGTGCCTTTCAGAGCCACCAGCACTTTTTAGGGTTCAAAATGTTACGTGAGAAAGTGTACCAGATCATACAACTTTTTCATTTTTTGCGATTTTCACTCATTTGTTTGATAAAATACTTTTAATTCCAACGCCTTTTGCAGTCATGTTTAATCATACTAGTTGTGACGATTTTAAAAACCGTAAATAAACATTGGCATGTGGTCAGCTCGGCTTCCAGCGTGGCATTTTAAACATAGCGGCCTGTGTCTAATTGTTTAGCGGCCGTGTGACATTTGCCAGACTCACAGGCAGGTGATGTGAAGCAGCTTTAAACAGAAAGCTCTCCTGTCACCAATCATGCTGTCAGCTGCAGGTGTCTACCTCAATTTACCGTCCGCTGTAGACTAAACAGTAGTGATTCACTGCCACGCTCACAATTTCTTGCGCCACAGCAACACATTAACAGGATGGTGGCGGGTTGGATGACCTGTCATTTTCTTCAATCCGCAGGTTAGTTTTTCATTTGGTGTGACCGCCTTAAGACTTTGAAACAGCACTATTTCTCCTCAGCACACAATTCTCAATGTACTCTGCAGGAAGGCTTTTCCAAGCACCTTGAACAAATTGCCACAGTTCCTCTGTGAATTTAGGCTGTCTCACAGTCTTCTGTCTCGTCATGTAATCCCACATTGATGATGCTGAGATCAGGGCTCTGTGGGGGCCAAACCATCTGTTGCAGGGCTCCTTGTCTTTGTTTCTGTCCTGCAGGTACTTTTTTATGGCTCTGGCTTTGTGTTTGTGAATTTGAGGTTAATCAGATGTATTCTTCCATAGTGGATAAAAAATAAAACATTTGAAGTTTCTAAAAACATTGCACAGCATTGTTTTTAGTGCATACATTAAAGGAGAAAACCCCTTTTCTGGATTTTGTGGGTTTTATGGGTTCATTTTCGCAGTTTTTTTTTAAATAAACCTGCCTTTTTGATGGGAAAACTAGTATATTTTGTATTTTTCTTTCCTTTCAATCACTTGTTTGTTATGCACTCCACTTTACACAAATGTGCAGATTTTCTTTTCTTATCTCGGTATCTCCCAATCTTACAAAACCTTAAAGTTTAGCTGCATAACAGCTTCAGGTTCCTGCAGTCAGTTTCTCACAATACACAAGAGCTCAGCAGCACAAACTAAACTAGAGCATCTTCTAACCCACCACCTGCTTGACTCATCTTTATATTTTTTTATTTATTTTTTGCTCTTCTCTGCAGGACAGAGACATGACCCACCGGCAGAGCCCCTGTGGCGACAGCATTGTCGGGGTCGGGGATGGAGGCAAGGAGGTGGAGGGTTGCGTGGATCAGCTCATGGGTCTGGGAGAGTGCGAGACGGTCTGCAGCAGCTCAGCGTTCGAACAGTGGGACTCCTACTGGGAAGACCTCACCAGGTACTGGATTATTTATTTATTTGTTGCAGCGTATTTTTAGATCAGGCTAAACAACAACAAGCAAGCAATTAAGGCATGTAACATGCTGGAGAATTTAACAGCTAATTAATAAAGCTAATAAGTAATTAAAATCACACATTGTGTTTCTCCTCTTTCTTACTTACGTTGCCAAAGTTGTACCCAGCATTCTCTGACAATGAGTCCCCGACTGAGTCTAAGAACGACATGTGGGGAAAATAAAAAATCGTATAATCCTTTGGAGCAGCTTAAAATGCTGCAGTTGAAACTAGCTGGTCGTGACGCTTGTCCTAATATATTGGAATATTCAAATCACATGCAAAATGCAAAAGGATCCAGTGTTTTATTAACCTGATCCCATAAAGTAACCTCTTTATTTTTTCACATGCTGGTGTATTTTCATGGTGTTTCTTTATAGTAGGTGGAATACTAAATAACAGCAGCGTCATCCTTCATACTAAAATGTGAGATAGAGTTCTGCACTTTGTCCGAATAAGCTACATTTTCTGCAAAACAACATGTGAATTGGGAGTATTTCTGTTCTAGTTTGCAAGCTTTTCAAATCTTTTTCCAAGCTGGCAAAAATACAATAGCCTGATCCACAGTTGTGTTGTGTATTTGTACCAGTGTGCCATTTATAAGTTATAGTTTTCTTCAAACTTCTTTTCTTCTTCAACTTGAAACTCTTCTATTTATAAAAATGCAAGAATAACTAGAGATGTTGTAAACTATGGAATTGATTGCTGACTATTTCAATAATCGACCCATCAGTTTGAGCATTTTTTTAAAAAAGAAAAACAAATCTAAACTCCTCTTCAAATTGAATATTCTCTATATTTATTCCTACTATTTTATGTCTATTACAGTTAACTAAATATGTTTAGATTGTGGACAAAACTAGGCATTTGATGAAGTCATTTTTGTCTTTAAGAACCACTGATTGATATTTTTCACCACTTTATTAACCAAACCCCATTAATCTGAAAAAATACATATTAATCAACAATGAAAATATTTGTTAGTTGCAGCCTGAATAATAATAATATAATGTGATGAATAATTTGTAGATTTTTTTTTGCAGAAAATCTTATTAGTTTTCAAGATCATGTCTTCAAACTGCTCAGCCGTTACAAGCCCAAAAAGTGTAAAATAAAGACTAAAACTAAACAAATTCTTGCATTTAAGAAGCTCCCACTTGGAAGTAAGGAGGTTGTAGTGTTCCTCTACATTGTGTGGGCTTTCAATGACAGACTCGACTGATTTTCTCTGTGGGAAAACTGCAGCTAGAATTGAAATCAGCTTGTGAACGTTATCAGGGACGACAGGTGTTTACTGCCACTGACCTGTAATCATCAAGGCGGCTCCCCTTGGTCCAACATAGACGCACCAGTGGACGGTTTAAAGCTGGTAGTGGTTTTGTGTGGAGGCAGGGTGTGGTTTAAAAGGCCGGTACACAACAAAGCAGCCGGCTGCCGCAGTCTCCAGGGATCTCAGGTGATGCTCGTCTGTCCTGCAGCTACTCTGATGCTTCGCCGTTAAAATAGTTTGTGTTCTGTCTTCCCCAGTGTTGAGTGTCAGCTGAGGGCAGGCAGAAATCTCTGAAATCTTGAAGTTATTAAACCTCAGGTGGAGTTGTGCTGGTTGTTGCAAGGTTGAGGGAAATCTGCTGCTTACAGGGCTGACTGAGGTCATTTTTTATGTGAAACAGAGGAAAGTGTTGTATCTTTTGGCTAATGAACAAGTCATGCTCTAGTCCCATGCTGCTGTTTGATTGCTCTTATGTGTTGTGATGCTCTGTATAGGTCTTGCTATGTTCTGCAGTACTTTTGATTCTTATTCTGGCTTTTACTAAACTATAGTTTTCTTCATTTGCCAACCTTCCTCCATTTAAGAAATTAAAGCAGACAAGCGTCTATGTGTCAAAATTAGAAATATCAGACGTGGTGAACTTTCTTTTTTCGTCTTGGATTCGCTGGTATGATGTGGTAGGAAGAGGTTTCACTTCCTTCATGTCTTGATGACTGAGATAAAAGTCAAAAACTGAACTCAAAACAAACATGAGCAGCTGCAAATTTGCTCTGTATGCAAACTGAGGAATGCAAAAATCATTCAGACGGCTTTAAAAAAAATGTGCACTTCTCCCTAACCGTGACTCTACATCAAGTTTAGTGTGCTAAGGAAATTAACAGAACTGCTGTGACATATCACACACACACTCCACACACAGTGTAGCAAGCTAACTTTGAAAATACATGACCACAATGGATTTTTTTTTTTTTTTAAATAGTGATAGAAAAAGTGAAAACAATCCAGATTAAAGTTACAAATTTGCATCATGTTCAGTGTGAATTCACCTCACAGCTGTATTGAATCAAGTTGTCATGTGGTTTTGTGTTTAAATGTTGTATGACCCTATCATGTGACCAGTGGCCTTTGCTCTTTTAAGTGCACTTCAATGTGTAACTTTAATTCGCCGTCTGTTTCCTCTGGATCAGTCAGACTCTGGAGGTAACAGGTTTACATTTCAGGCTGCAATGAATGGCGATCATTTACATTATTGATGACTCTGCTGAACACTTAATTGATTATTTAATAATTCATCTGCGCTATAAAATGGCAGAAAATAGTAAAAACAAAAAAGTCAGTCAGCTTCCAAGAGTCTAAGGTAATGTATTGAAACGTTGTAGCAACAGCCCAAAGCACAAACATATTCACTTTAGAATGGTCTATAGGAGGATGGAGCAGCACAGTTTGGGTATTCAGAACAGTTGTTACTGACTACTTTTCTGTTGATCAACTAATTTTATAGTAAATATTTGCAGATATGTTTACATTCAAATGTGCAAGCAGACAGGATGAAAAATAATCACTTGCATCAACAAGCACTTTGCAGATATTCTAAAAGATTTGAGTAATTGATATTCAGCTCAATCACTAAATGGTTACATTTTAAGGCGATTGTTTACAATGAGAAGTTACTGAAAGGTTTCACTGCATCTCTGTGTGTGTTACAGATACACACGGCTGGCCAGCTGTGACATCTGGGGTACCAAAGAGGTGGACTTCCTCGGTTTGGATGACTTCTCCAGTCCCTATCAGGACGAGGAAGTGATCGGTCGAACCCCAACGCTGGCTCAGCTCAACAGCGAGGATTCGCAGCCTGTATGTGAGGCGCTTTACCCCCCCGCTGACCTGAGCCTGCCTACCCCCCAGCCTCAGCCTCAACTGCCCCAGCTTCCCTGTCACAGTAAGAGACTCCTTGTCCCTGGCCAAGGATCTGCACGGCCTTCACCAAGCTCCACATCTTCTTCCCGTCCTTCACGCAGCCTTCTCCCAGACTTTCCTGAAGGTTCCCAAAAAGCCACCAGGCCCGTCCCCTCCAGCACTGAGACTATGGCCAAGACCCAGAACCACCTCAGTCTCACCCAGGACCACGGCCAGGCTCAGATCAAGCCCCCGGGGCGAGGAACCAAAATGGCGGCCCCGACTTCACACAACTCTGACTTTGTGCGGAAGGCTAAAGTCCGTGTGAGCGCTGTACATAAAGCTCAAGCTGACATGCCTCCTCAGACAGATTTTGAGAGGTCAGACCCCCCTTTACCTCTTTCCCAGCCTCAAGACGAGAAGGCCTCCACTTCAGCAAGTGCCGCTCTGGTGGGACTCTCCGGTGCTGCAGCCGGCGGCTCCGGCAGCCTGTCGAGCTTTGAGAGAAGGGCAGAGGGGGCGGGGAGGAGAGAGATGCCTGTCGGCTGGTCTGCCAATGTGCCTCAGCTGGTTGAGGCGAGCCAGGCTATGGAGGGCAGCACCTCTGAGCTGGTGAGCAGCGAAAGTGTGGCGGGGGCCAGCAGTGGCGGCGGCGGTGGCGGCGGTGGTAGCGGTGGCCTTCTGGTTGTCGAGGGAACGGAGAAAAGCGAGGAGGAACACAACTACTCTCTGTTCCTGACCTGCAGCAGACTGGCCAGCAGAGCCCACTCCCAGCTAGAGGAGGACGAAGAGGAGGAGGAGGACGAGGAGGAGGCAGAGGAGGAGGAAGGCGATGGGCTGGAGCTAGACGACGAAGACCACGATGAGGGTTTCGGCAGCGAGCACGAGCTGTCTGAAAATGAGGAGGAGGAAGAGGAGGAGGAGGATGAAGACTATGAAGCTGACAAGGACGATGACATGAGTGATGCCTTCTCTGAGCCAGGTAGTTACCCTTCATCATCACATTAAAGTTTGACAACTGCTTGTCAATATTTGAGTTATCCGTTACTTTGAGTGACGAAACGTAACCTTATTTTGTGCTCGTCTTTCAACTTAATTGTCCTTCTTCTGGTTTTTCTTGTTCTCATTTTTGCCCTTGTTTTAATTCCACCTCCACCAGGCTGTGACGTGGAGCTGATGGACGACATTAAAGGCCTGACAGCAGGAGTCTCCAGCCGGAAGAGAGGAAAGCGCCGCTACTTCTGGGAGTACAGTGAGCAGCTCACCCCCTCCAAACAGGAACGTATGCTGAAGCCGTCTGAGTGGGACCGACACACGCTGCCTAGCAACCTGTACCAGAAGAACGGGCCTCTCCATGGTACACACTCACATACATAAACTGTATATACACAGCTGTAGCATAGAGGCCTTTAAGACTTGCTAATAATAGCAGTTTAGCTGAAAGCTTTTTGAGAATCCTCAAAGGAATTGGATACAAACTGACACAGTCTGCCTCGATCATGGTATAAAACTCGCCATGTAGGGCTTTTCGTGAACACTGTGGTACCTGTCGTTCAGTAAGGCTGTGACAGTTTGGAATTTGCACAACAGTAGATTCACACAGCATGTTGCATTGATACAGGTTTTAACCTTCTTGAAAAACAGTGAAAATGAAAAACTCTCATTTGCTACTTTCATAAGCAGCACATCATTTCTTATGCATTCATATTCCTGTTTATTCTATCCTTTTGTTTCTAAGTGAATTACGCAGAGGATGAGTCATACTGCGTTTTGAAAATGTTTTAACAGTTTCAAAAACAGAAAATCATTTAAAGCTTGCGGCCTTTGAAAAATCTGTCATAATCAAAAGTGATGGTCAATTACACAATGATTATTTACTTTATTAATGGATCTCAACACCTGGTAAATCCCCCGCACGTCACCAAAAGTCAGCACATGGAAAATGGCAGCTTATCTGTTTGAGCAATAAGAAAAGTTAGAAGTACTGTGTGAGAGATTTAGCAAACAGTGAAGTTGTGAAAAATTACCATAATGTGGAAAAATTCAAATAGATTTATTCTGTCTTTATGACCGAACAGTTATATAAAGAAAAGAGGAAAAAAGATTTTTTTGGCCGATGGAGTTGCAAGCAAGTTTTTAATCGTTAATTTACTGTCCAGATCATGTTGTTTATTTAACAGTTGGCTGGATATGTGTAGAAATCAAGAGTGGGTGATGAAGCATTAAATAGGATGCAAGAATCATCTCTAATGCTGTCACTTTGTCACTTTTAATGAAGGAAAATACATGCTGAAGAAGTCTCGCCGCACAGACGTGGAAGACCTGACTCCAAATCCACGCAAGCTGCTGCAGATCGGCACTGAGCTTCGCAAACTGAACAAAGTGATCAGTGACTTGACCCCCGTCAGCGAGCTGCCACTGACTGCAAGGCCCCGATCCCGCAAGGAGAAAAATAAGCTGGCGTCCAGGTGAAACATGCATGCATCACTGTGTAGCTGCACAACCATCTTATGTGTACTCACACTGATATTCACAGTTCTATTGCATAAAGCACGAGTACAGTTTAAGGTAAAGCTGTAGTCAAGATTTGAAGGTCTCCTCATTGAGGTCTTCTTTTCTGTTATCCATCAGTAACCTTCATTCATCTGTGTGTATTGTAGAGCTTGTCGTTTAAAAAAGAAGGCCCAGTACGAAGCAAACAAGGTGAAGCTTTGGGGACTCAGCACAGAGTACGGTAGGTTGTCCATGACAACGCATACGTAACATTTTCTGCACACAGTTCATTAAATTTTGCATGTGTTTCTGTGGTTTTCTGTTAAATATATTTCTTTAAATCTATTAGCAATGATAACAATGATTATTGTATTTTACTTGTGTCTATTTATAGTATCGTCACACCCAAAACTTAGCTTCCTGTTGATGAACATGATTAGATATAGATTGCAGAACCGCAGTATTTTGCGTCCATGCTTCTGCTCAAACACATGCTTTCTTGCAGACCGTCTGCTGTTTGTGATCAATGCCATCAAGGAGGAGATAGTGGTGCGAGTAGAGGACTCTTCTCCGCGTTCAACCAACATGACTGACACTCTGGAGCGACTCATCCAGGAGACACTCGGTGAGACCAAAAATTTTGTTCATTCATCTCTGTGTAAACACTCCAAAATCTGTTTGTTCAGATAGTCTTTGAAGGATTAAAAGCTCTTTATTTAAAGATTGAAAACTAAATAAAATAATTTATCCACACTTTCATGGAACAGATAGGGATCTATAGCCAATATTTTGACCATGCAGGAAACTTAGGAGCAAAATTCTGCTTCAAAAGTATAAGCTTGTATTAACTGAACGAGTCAATCAGTTACGGCTAACCCAGAGAAGACAAGATCTTCTTTGGATTGTATCATAAACACTTAATCAGAAGCCAACTTTAACGACAATTATTGACTTTTCAAGGATATTGAGGTGCTGATAGATCAGCTGACATCAAACTCAGGCTGAACAGTCAATAATCATGCAACATGTTCTATAACGTACACAGGACAAAATTGTGTGCATAAGGCAAAAAATATGAATTTTGAATGTACTTTTGTATCTCTTTTTGCATGCAGTGCCATCACCTGTTGCTGGGCAGACTTCCGACTTTGTCAATAAGATCTTGGAGAACACAGGACGCGGCGATCCCACCGGCGGACTGGTCGGCCTGCGAGTCCCCACCTCCAAAATCTAGACAAGCCTCGGTCCACTGAGAGGAGTGGACAAAATATTACCACCGTGCTGTCCCGTTGTAACTATGCTCCCCTCTGCATGCCCCTCCAACCCAGAGTACATACACATTGTTAGTCACACAAACACACATACCACTCCCTGTGTGTATGTATGTGTGCTTGTTTTTGCCATGCACCTGCATGGCGTACACCCTAGCTTCCTGTCTCTGCACGCAGCGTGCAGAGTCAGTGCGTCACTGTCTCCCAACTCATCGTGAACGTCTGTTGGGAAAAGCACCTCTTCAAGCAAGTGATGGTTAGGTGTATAGCTAATAGCACGTCCTAAATCCACTGGTGATTAATAGATGTGTTTAACAGAGCAATGTGTAGGGTTGGTTCTGTTCGAGGTCTGCTTCCAGGGCTGAGACAGTCACATGAGCGTAACCACTGGAATACTTTGACACAACTTGTTTGAGGTAGTAATGATAGATTGTTACATGTCAGATACCATCAAAGGTTGAAAAGTTCCAGTTATCATTTCCAAGAAGAGGGTCACCTCGAATGGCAACAAAAAATGAACTCCAAGTTGTTAAATTGACCCATTCAGTAAAGCACTTTGATAAAATTGGCTTTGATAGCCAAGAAATCTGCAGGAAAAAAAAAAAAAAAAAGTCTGCGTACTCCAAGGTGTTAAGGGGTGGCAGGAAATATTTTGTATTGAAGGCCTAAATATGTTCATGCCATCCCCTGTTTGCCAATCAGCTCCGCTGCTGCGACGAGGGAGGAGTTAACATTTAGCGATTTAATGCTCGAAACAAAGACGCAGTAGTAGGGGGCATTTCTAATTAGAATTTAACAGTTGAGCATCAGACTCCCAGCTGCTTTGAAGTTCGTGGCAGGCAGGAGAAAGCTAACCTTGACGACGTTACCTTAAACAGCAGGAGGTAGTTGACCATGTGGAGACGGAGCGCATGTAGCATGGTGCTTTTTTGCCTTGTGCTGGTTATAACTGGACTGGGTGAAACGGGCATTTTGCCAGTATGGGAACAGACAGACTGTGAGGAAGATGATGATGGCGATAAAGACGACATAAACAGTGATCCATCTCCTCTAGGAAACTGTATATAAACGTGTCTCCCAGCAAACGGCACCGGCTCCCCTTTTTGTACAGTAGAGATGACCAGGCAGTTTGGTGATGACAGTTTGGTGTGTTCATACTAGTGTTTGATCAGAGTTCTATTCATTGTGCCTTGTGTATGTATGTGTATGTTTCTGTAAGTCTGAGTGAGTGTGTGAGAGGGACTGAACGAGAAGAGGTGATTGGTCAGAACTCCCTGAGGTCCAGGCTAGGAGAGGACTACTTTACACTGAGGGAGGTTGTTAGTGAATGCGAGGAAGGACACACTTGTGTTGTGTATTTCAGTCGTTTAAAGATATTCTGAATGTACATAAATAAACGGAAGCTCTTGTTGCGTGATGCCACAGAGTCTGTGTATATAGGAGGGCTCTGCAATAGATTACTTTTGGTTTTTGGTACTCTGTCTTTGGGGATTGGGGAGGGTTAACAGATATTTTTCGTTTAGAGTTACAAAAAATATTTGCACACTATATTTTGATTGTTTTTTGTACCAAAGACACATGCAACGAAATGGCAACCAGCCAGTTAAAGTAAGGTTTTGCACAGCTTACCTGACGCCGTATTGAATGTAAGAAATGTGGGAGGGTCAGGGAACTTCATAGAACTGTGAAATTAGCTTGGGTCCAATTCTGTACAGAAAAGGAACATTCATTTGTTTGTTTGGTTTTTTTTTTTAATCTAAAAATTAACCCCATATGTGGGCTTCTCCAGTAGATTTGTTGCTTAGGAAGCACTTCATTCCTGAACTGACTCCTCCCTCCACATGCTAAACGTGTTAATGGCGCTAGCTAGGACAAAAACCAAGAGCGCTAGTAGATAAGCTATGTTACATTTTTGCTTGTTTGTCAAAATGTCACCAACAGTAACCAAAATATTATGTTCCTGTGTCACTTGTTTGATTTCTATATGTAGATGAGGTCTAGTTCATCAACAAGATATTAACTGAATTGTGTTTTAAAGTACTGTATATAGAAGCATTAATGATATATCTATCGATGATGAAATGCCACTTTTCATGACAATTGATTCATTTACGCATGACACATTTCTAAAGCCTATCCTTGCATCAAGAAAGTTAGAGGAAAAAAACACAAAAACCAAAAAAAGTTCTTGATATATTTTTGTGTTTTAGCTGCCTGCTAGTTTTCCTGTTGGTTTGGAGGTGGTCTTTGGTCAGAGACGTGGAGGGAAAAGAGAAGAATGGTCTTAAAATGCAAATCTGATAGTTTGATCTATGAGCTGACCCCTTTGTTCTCCTTTGCTGGCTGAGTGAAATGCAGAGAATCAGGACTGGATTTATTTGAAACGCAGTGCGGCGAAGCCTCGGTCTAGTTTGGCTGGTCTATAAGGAGAATGAGGACATGCTGTCTTTAGCAAGGACGGGGACGGGTCCAGGAAAGCAAGAGGACAACAGTGTGGAGGTGTGAGGACAGATGAGGAACCAGCTGAAGTTTTGTCTCAGATGCTGTTGTGAGTCTGTCAAGACTGATCTGGATTCAGCACTGTGCTCTCTCATTTAGATTTTCCCACGTATTCTCACTTTCATCATGAAGCCGGTTGAATTTTGCATTTCCTGGGATTGCTGCCTTTAGGGTTGCGTTACTGATTTGACTCTGCCAGGCTTCACCTTGCCTTTAGACATCCTTCCTGACTGGTCACAGTGTTAAAGAAAAACTTTGTTCATCAAAACATTTGTGGCGTTCAGGCCATGAAGTGGCAGCGTGTGCAGCCTTTTAAAATGCCCGTTGCTTTGTCTCCCTGTTGCCTCGTCAGAGGAAACGCTACCATTCTCAGGAATTTTCAGAATTCAACCAGAATTCATTCTATTAGCAGGCAAATACAATGAAAAACAGGAGTTTAATGAGGCTGAATTCAGGTTAGTTTGAAGTGAAGAAAGTCCTCCTTCACAGAATGATGTCTGATGATGGTAAAGTCTTTCTGTACTGTGTGATTGAATAACAGCTAGTGCTGCATATATATATATTTTTACTGTTTTCCGTTCCGTCTAAAAAGGGAGAAATGGTGCTTTTTCTGAAACTAGAATGATGAGTATCCACGATTCTTATTTGACTTCTTAGACTAGTTGTAGCCTAATGACTTGCTCTCCCCTACCGTCCATAGCTATTTTCTTAGTAGTGATTCTTTTTTGTAAATAAAGTATAAGTTAATATGTATCTTCTAAATGTTAGATATATGTATAGAGTACTCTATCTTATATGTTTAAAAAACAAAAGCACTTTGTCCAAAAAAGAAAAAAAACAAAACAAAAAGAAAAGCATTTTTTTCTTCCATTTGCTGCTAAACGGCCTGGTGTGAATGCTGCAAGTGTACTTGACGACTACTTGCAAGGATAGGTCTCTTACCTGACTTGGCTAGGTCTATGAACTAGCAAGTAATAGGTGTAATGGCCTGACGAGGGTTAGATCTAAACGTTTCTAGAGCCATGAAATGATATGAGGTGTGCGAGAGCGTATCATTGCTTGGCTTTGGGAAGCCCAGTGTCTTGACAGGATAGGTCTATTTCCTGGTCAGGGACCGTGTGATGGTGTGTTTGTGGTCTTAAAAAAAAAAAAATTTAAAAAAGAGGGTTTTGATTCCAGGGCCCCTACGTTGATCCTGATGCTGACCCCCTTGGCGTCATGATTCATTTGCCTTCAGTAGAGGTTTCCTATGGAAAAACTGATTCTGCTTTGGCTTCCTCTTCAGGGTGATGTACAGTGTAGACACATTTCTTCAGAGAGCTATATTGTTATCATTTGTAAACTGATTTCTACTTGTGACTTAATGAGGAGAGGTTTAGCCTGGGGCGGCCAGGAAGAGCTCGCTTGAAAGATGTTCCTGGCCGCCTTGGGGGAAGTTACTATATCACTGTACTGTATGGCAAGCCAATTACAAATGGAGACTCAATCCGGACACTTATTGCCTTCTTAAATAACTTCACATACACACAAACAAAAATAACATGGCAGACGTGTCAGCATAACCAAGGTTTATGGCACTTCTCTGCCGATCCGGTAAACAACAACAACAACAACAAAACCATTCAGCCTGATTGGCTCAAAACAACCTTGACTGAAGTAGCAGACGTGGTGAAATATGTCTGAAAAATGGCTTCAAAAGCTCGAACTGCGCGTTGTTGCGACAACATTTGAAGCATTTGTTTTTCAGCTATGATTTCGTCCCAGGTCTGGTAGGGGGTCAACAGTGGTTAAAGGGCCGCTGGTTGACGGCCGGATGACAAGAGAAGCTTGTGTGTGTTTTGCTGTCGATCACGAGGCTGGTTCAAGAAAGAGTCCTCACAGGTTTTTACATTTAACATGATAGGCGCAAGCTGTGCAACTTTACATTCAAACCAGGAGACTCTGTGGCATTTTAACAGTCAAGGAAATGAGTGAAAAATCCACGCCAGTAAAACTATTCCTTATCCTTTTTATTTCTGATGACATAAATCCTATACAGTCAACTATTAAGCTAATAGAGTGTGTAACTTTGTGCTACTCTTGTCCAATAAAAAGCTACGTGGATCCATAAAGCTCTTCTTCAGCAAATCAGGGTAATATCGTTCTTCTATCTGACATATGTGATGACATATAAAATCAAAAGAAAATATATTTATGTATTCCAATTATTGTCGCCATTCTTTACTCTGTAAAAAAAAAAAATATATTGTGTGTGTGTGCGTGTGTGTGTGTTATGGATTATCAATGTCAATCACTATGGTGCAATGCTCTATACACAAAGTAAAAATACAAAAGGCCAACAGACTTGTCACAAGAATTCACAAAAATTTCTCCGCTTTCTCCCAATTGGTCTTTGAACGTACACAATCTGCAACATCTTCCTCTCACGAAGGATTGGACTCTGATTTCCAGCCGTGATCCAACTGGGGTTTGTCACATGGTGCTGATTACTTTTCATTAACGATGTGACATATTAAAAAGGCATCTGTATTCAGATCCACTCACCAATAACACTGTCCCATCAGACCAAACTCCCCGCCCCCCCGCCCCGCCCCTCTTTCCCCCGATCATTCTCATCGATTCTGACTTTTGATTAAATGACATGATTTCACTGTTGGACCAATCAGAGGAAGATTCGCACCGACTCTTGCTCTAAACGACGACAACAGAATGGTGATTTCTGTATTGTTGACCTGTGTGATCATTATTGTTAAGCATACCATTATTACTTTTGTAAAAGCCAGTCTCCTGGATTTGACAGCATCGCACGAAGTTGAAGCAAAAACATGCACCATAACAACAAAATAGATCCACATATTTTGGTGTATTAGGACTTGTGGGGTTTAATGTTTGATCAAATTGACTGAACTTTATTCAAATTCTACTGGTTGGTTTATATTTAATTTGTAAAGCACCGTCTCCAGAGGAAATATATGGTAATGCTTTGTTTTTCAGTCTGAAATTTTGAAATCATTTCCAAGAAGTTTCCTTGTTGCTTGTTGTATGTAATTTGTTACTAATATGAGACACATTTATAATTCATTAAATCCAGTTAGTCATTTAGAGGACACAAAGCAGGTCAGTTCAATATTTGACGAAACATCTACAGAAAATTAAGCTTTCAATAACAACTGGATAATTAACGATCATGTAGTTGGGTTTAAAGCTGCATTAAATCAGTCTGTTTATAAAATATTAAAGATTTATCACACGACTCTGCAGTTCCCATCAGCCCTGCATAGCGTTTGAGCATCTTTCAGCTCATTGTTTTGGTTTTCTTTCACTGCTCTTATAGCGCTGAACATAGTGGAGCATTTACCTGCTAAGAAGCCAGAGACGTCCCCCAGGAGCTGATCAAACCATAAACTGAGCTACAAGGAGAGTCAACACTAAGGCACACAAATGAATGTTTGCAAATATGTTTACCACTTTATAGGATGATAGTATGTCAGTTTAGTGTTTACACTGGAGCAGCTTTTTTTTTTTTAATATATGTTCCTGTTTTGCTATAATTAGTACCAAAATACTTGCAGTAGCTGTTTCCAGCAAACTTCTAAGGAAATGATGGGTCTGTAAAATATGCATTACTAAATATTTCCAAATAAGTGGGTTTGCAAAACTAAAATTTCCCTCCCCTTTGCTGGGTGCGATGCCAGATCCCAGAGTCTGGCTTCCTTCTGTTTCTTTTGTGGCATCTCAAATGTATCCTGTCTTGTTTGAACCCATGTGGGCTGCTTGTAAAAACGCCTCGTCACCGGAGGCTGTACGCTTACTACCCTCCACGTTCTGTCCCAGAGGCGAGAATGCAGCAGGAGTTATGTTTGTGCATGCCGATTCCCTGCATAGCGCTGAGAGAATCAAGTGGCGTCTGGAGCTCCTCGCAGATTGGGGAAACAATTGGGCCGATCACCAGAGAGGGTCCTCATCATCACAGAGTTGTTGCATGGCTTTTTGGGCTCTCTGTACTCTCAATCGTATGATTTCATACTTGCTGCTATTGAATGAGCACAAAGAGACTTCAGATTTTGGTTTAGGGTGTCCATGACACAGTTACAGTATATTATTACCACACACCCCTGTTTTTTTTTCACACCTTTTTTTCCTATGACAGTCAAAAGACCAACAGCATTACTCACCTTGCACTTGGTTTTTACGAATACAAGGAGAAAAACCAATATTTTGAATATGATGCCTGCTGAACCAGGTGCCTTAATCAAATATGAGAACACAAATCTGCACCTTCTGTCAGTCTGGAGGGGGTTTCCCGACAGAAACAAGGGGCTGGGTTTCCCAAAACCTAAACTTGAAGTACAATAATGAAATGAAAACCTCAGTTTAACCCTGAATCAGTGCATTTTGTATAATAATCAACCTTTAATATCAGAGCTGTTTGTCATGTCTGGATGGTCAAATAACTTTCCTGTGGGATTTCCCTGTTCAAGTATTACTCGAAGAAGAGCAAAAATGACAGCTTGTAAGCTAAATTGATGCTGTTTTGGGAAACCTGGTTCTGTTTTTAACTTTTTCTCTGCCCACTACGCCACGTTATTGTGTTTTCTGTATTGGCTGTTGCTGCTATCACCGCTGGTGTGTCCGTTTTAGAGATGAGCAAACTTCCACTGTGTCTGAGACAGAGGGAGACCTGGGCCTGCTTTTTACCTAGTCGATTACGATGCATTCTTCTTCTTCTTCTTCTTCTTCTGCGGTTTTGACGTGGAGCACTGTGTTGCTGCCTCTTGAGACCTTTTCGAGACAGAAAAAAAACAAACAAAAAAAAACAACATAAAACAGAACTTTCCATTTCTTAACTTTGCTATTATGAAGTGCCAGACCCTCCTTGAAGTCAGTGTTGGCACTGAGTCGCAGGTTGCGAATGAAGCGACAAACTGAGCATGGAGGTAAACTGTGGTGCTAATCTGTCAGTGGCTGGGTGCTAACATGGCTGTGTTCAATAGCTGTATTAGCCATTTTATTCCTTCTGTTGATGACTCCGGTCAGTCTTGTGTTTTTGACTGCTGCACTGCTGTATGCTGACATAGCGAGGTATAACTCTGCTGCTGCTGCTTTGCTGATGAATGTAGACTAGTCTTCCTCAGCAGGATCATACAGACAGACGAGAGCGTCTGGCCGAGCTTTTCCTTTTTGTTTCGACTTTGCTTGAAAGCTCACAGGGGGAGACTCTTGTCGTCAGGATCTAGAAAGATCTTGAATGTTGTATCTTTTACATGGCCGCTGTCCTGCTTGTATGTTTCAAACTTCTTCTTTTTTTTTTTTTTAATATATGCTTTGATATTTATGCTTTGATTCTGTCAAATGTTGCACGTTTGTTTTTTTTCCCCTAAATTATATTTTATTGCCATTTTTTCTCTGATCCCAGTGTTCATACCATTTCTTTGATATTTATTTGTTTAGTCCTTTAATGTAACTTGCAAGGAGACAATTTGTTGAAACTAGACTTTATAGCTTTTCCACTGAAGCAGGCTTTACCACGAGTCAGAGACTTCTCGTGAGATTCACAGACAGAAATCAAACTGACAGTGAAACCACAATGACTTTTTCTTTAACATAGTGACACTATGTACATCAATGTGACAAAAGCAAACAGTAACACACAATTTATTTTGTTGTATTTTTGCTTAAAATGCTACTCATATCTGTAAGATTATCTCATCCTGTCTCATAGATTTTTGTCGCCACATTCTGGCAAGGCAAATGGTTATAAAGGTGTTTTAATCAGTGAATTAATTAGTTATTACGTAAATTATCCATCAACAAGTTAAACATTAACTAAAAGACAAACCCTAGAAATAAAATATAGAAAAAGTTCCAATAAATCTGTTAAAAACCAAGACACTAACAGCTAAATAATTGAACAGTTAACTTAATTAAAACAGATACATATCTAAAGAGGCAAAATTTGAAAAACTAAGAACTGATGGCACAAATCCTACTAAAGCAAAATAATTGCAAAACTACTAATCAAAGCTGTTATAAATACTGACATTGTTTTACCAGTTTAATCTTTTTGTCACTGACTCTTCGCTACGTGTGCTAATGAGATTCATCAAGACATCGCGGTGGACGAAAGCAGCTCCACACATTAGAGGAATGTCTCAAACATTTTTTTCTAAATGTAATAATTTGCTTTGTTAGCATGTGTTGGATAAATACCATTCACATGTCTGTATAACTGCAGCCCGTTAGCTTAGCATTAAGACCTGGCTCTATCCTAAAGTAAAAACGTAGTCAGCACCTTTAAACTCGCTCATCAACATGTGATATGTCATTTGTTAAATCTGTGCAAAAATATAAGTTATACAGGGATTATGTTGCACACTATTTCCTGGCACAGCTTGTTAAATTCCTAGAGTCCTGCAAGTTTATTAGTGATTTTTCATTTCGTGTGGAATTAGATATTTACAACCTGAAAACACTTGAGCGGACACAACTGAACCCAAAATCTTCTCTAGATTTATCAGACAAACAAAACTTACAGTTGTTTATAAATATATAATACCATTAAATTACTATACATGAGCTCGTATGTTCTTTTCTGCATCGTGATGCGCCCTAATACCAATTAAAAGAACCGGGAAGCTGTCAGAACTGGTTTTTATTGTGAGTTTGAATCTTTTCTGTCTGTGAAGCCCACGAAGCGTTCTGCCATTGGAGGTTTTGACGCGGCCAGAAGGGGCTTGTCGAGTTACCAAACCGAACCTCACCTCGACACGACTCTTTTGTTCAGGACTCCGGACTCAAGGTTCGGGTGCTGCTCGGCCTTGGGGCGCCGGTTGGGAGTCGACTCGCCTGTCGTCTCTAACTTTGGCGGGGAAATTTGGTTGGTTTTCTGAGAAAACTTAACCGCTATGCCAGAGATGTTTGGCCCCTTCTGGGTGCTTTTTTTTAAATATATATATATATTGTGTTTTTATTATTTTTCAGAAGGGCTTTGGTTCGCAGTTGTCTCGTCAGGGAGCTCCTGAGATTAGCCAGGGGTCACTAAAGGCTGGTGGGCAGAGACCCCTCACCCTCCCCTGCGATGAAAGATAGGGGAGAGGTTTGTTTCCTCTTCTGCAGACTGATCTTATCAAAGTAAACAACAACAACAACAACCCACCCTCGATAATAAAAGACAAAACCCCTCTTTCTCTTTCTACACATGTCCAACTCATCATCCAACACTGCAATGATTTACATCTCCTTCCAGACTTGCCAAATTGCATGGAGCAAGAGACATTTAACGACGAGAAAATTTTTATCTTACGGCATCTGTTCTGTTTCTTTTCTCTCTCTTTTTTTTTTTTTTTTTTTAATAATAACAGAGAGTAAGATGATTTTATAGGAAATCCATACAAGTCCAAACATGTAGAGGATGTGGGAGGTATCGGTCATCCTGAGCTCCACAGCTACATGCCATTGTTATGATGCTTCTGGTCTTGTATGGTAACTTATTTGACTAGATCAACAGCATGGGATCTTTCTGTAGTTAGTCCTGTGTGTGTTCCTCTCCCCAGTCTCAGTAGGAAGGCTGTACTTCATTGCTAAGTGCTCTATAATAGATCTCTTGGTGATTCTAATTTCATAAAGAAGCAAAACCTGCAGAAAGTGTATCCTGCTGAAACTAACTTGATCCTCTCTTTAGCAATGACGTCTATATTTGTAGTTCACATATATGCCTGTTCAAATACAGTATCTTGACAGTTGTTATATTTATGTTGTGTAATAAATGTCGTGCTGGGTTTATACTTTTGTTTTGACTAACTTTTCTTTTTTGTTTTACATTGTACTGTTTTTTTTTT